CTGCTGCTGCTGCAGGCTGTTTTTTCAACGCAGCAGCAGCAGCAGCAGCAGCGAAAACAGCAGCAGCGAAAACAGCAGCAGCAGCAGCAGCCCACACGACACCCGCCTGCTGCTGCTGCAGGCTGTTTTTTCAACGCAGCAGCAGCAGCAGCAGCAGCAGCGAAAACAGCAGCAGCAGCAGCAGCAGCAGCAGCAGCAGCAGCTTTTGAAAGCCCGTCTCGCGAGCCACGGAGAGGACTAAGGGGGGGAACAAAGCAGCAAATTGGAAAAGAAATTGAAGAATAAAAGTTTGGGAAAGCAGCAGCAGCAAACTGGAAAGCAGCAGCAGCAAACTGGAAAAGAAATTGAAGAAAAAAAGTTTTGGAATTTTGAAAGAAAAGAAAAAGCAGTTCGGGAGGCTTGAGGTGTACAGACAGCTCGCGGCTCAGCGCCTTCCGCCCTTCTTGCGGGTGCTGCAGCGCAGGGGCAGAAGTGGCTCAAAAAGCCGTCAAATTTCGCGTTTTGAAGCGCAATTTGTTGAAATTAATTAAATTAAATTAAATTAAATTAAATTAAATTAATTTAAACCAAAATTAACGCAATTTGGCGAACTATTTCCGCTTTTCGGCTCACATTGCCCGCATTGCGCCCTCGTCCGTCGCCGCCTTCGTCTTCGCCGTGGTCGGCCCGCTGTCGCGGAAGCCGGTGACCGCTTCTGCAATTCCTGCGGAAAAGGCGGAAAAAAGCGCGAAAAAAAGAATTAAATAAATAAAATAAAATAAATGGAAATTAAATGAATTAAAATGAACCCCAAAAGTCCTTTTTCCGCGAAAATCCGACCCGAACGCGCCCCCGCGCCGCCGCCGCTCAGGTGTATCGACACCTCCTGCTGCAGCAGCAGCAGCAGCAGCAGCAGCAGCAGCAGCTAGCCACTCAAACTTCTCACCTGGAGCTACAGCGCCTTGAGCGCCTCCTCTGAGGCATTCTTTTCGCTTTCTGAGCATTTTCTTGTAGCCGCTTCTGGTGTACGTACACCCCAGCGGACGCAGCAGCAGCAGCAGCAGCAGCAGCGCGGGCGGCAGCAGCACAGCAAAGGCAGCAGCAGCACGAGCGCCTTTCGGTTTGTCTTGCGGCCCCAAACTCACACCATTGAAGCCAACTTTGGTTTTTATTTATTCTTTTTATTTTCGAAATACTTTTGCTGCTTTAAAGGCAAATAAAAGGGCATTTAGTGCAGCAGCTGCTGCAGCCACAGCCTCACAGCCAAGCCAGCAGCAGCAGCAACGTAAACAGCAGCTACCCAAGCAGCAGCAGCAGCAGCAGCAAATACACTTGCAGCAGCAGCAGTAGTAGCAAAACCACGACAAGCAGCAACGAGTACACCTGCAGCAGCAGCTGTACGTGCACCAGCAGCAGCTAATACAGCAGCAGCAGCAGCAGCAGCAGCACCGGCGAATACACCGGCAGCAGCAGCACGCACAAAACAGCAGCAGCAGCAAATACACCACCAGCAACAGCAAACATATCGGCAGCAACATCGGCAAATACAGCAGCAGCAGCAGCAGCAGCAGCAAATACACCAGCGCCACGAGCAGCACATCCACCACCAAGAGCGGCACCAAGTACACCAGCAGCAGCAGCAGCAAATGCAGCAGCAGCAGCAGCAGCAAATACAGCAGCAGCAGCAGCAGCAAATACTCACCGTTCATGCTTGGGTTTCCACCTTTCTGGGTCTGGGGGCATTTGGGGTTTGCTGGGGTCCCAGCCTTTGGGGTATTTGATTTTTTTTCTTTTCTTTTTCTTGTCTGCTGCTGGCTTCCCCGCTGCTGCTGCTGCTGCTGCTGCTGCTGCAGCAGGGGCCCTTCTGCTGCTGGGAGGCAGCAGCTGCTTCTCCACATCTTCGCTGTCGAATAAATCCAAAGACATCGGCAGCCAGCGCATGAGGCGGTGTACGTACACCTGAGCGCTGGGCAGGTTGAGTCTGGCGAGAGCTTCTGCCAGCGTCAGGGTGGCTCGCAGTTCTGCTGCTGCTGCTGCTGCTGCTGCTGCGGGCTGCTGCTGCTGCTGCTGCTGCTGCTGCTGCTGCTGCAGCCGCTGCAAGGCCGCCTCGCTCTGAGCTGCTGCGTATTCCCACCGAGACAGCGAAGAGGCTATTTCTGCTGCTGTCAAACAGAGGTCCACGTAAGCAGCAGCGCTGCCCTGCAGCAGCAGCAGCAGCAGCAGCAGCAGCAGCAAGATGCAGCAGCAGCAGCAGCACCGCCCGGACCAAGTCCCGCACAGAAAGAACAGAAGAAGAAGGATGCGCAGAGGCCCACCACCCCTCACATACACGCTGCAGCAGCTGCAGGAGCTGCAGCTGCAGCAGCTGCAGCAGCAGCAGCAGCAGCAGCTGCTGCAGCTGCCGCTGCTCACTGTGCGCAAGACTACTCTGCCATATCGCCTAGCACACGGGCTAACAACCCAAGCAGTCGCAGCAGCAGAACAGTACTACTGGCTGCAGCAGCTGCAGCAGCAGCAGCAGCGAGAACTGCAGCAGCTGCGAGAGCAGCAGCTACTGCAGCAGCAGCAGCTGCTGCTGCAACATCAGCTGCTGCAACAACAGCAGCTGCAGCAGAAGCCCCAACGACGGAAAAGGAGAACGCGCTACTGGAGGCGAAGACGGCAGCAGCGGCAGCAGCAGCAGCAGCAGCAGCAGCAAGAAGGGGGCCAGCTACAGCAGCAAGACAACCGACACCAGAAACGACTGCAGCAGAAACGTCGCCAGCAGCAGCAGCGGAGGCGAAGACGGCAGCAGCAGCAGCAGCAGCTACGGCAGCAGCAGCAGCAGGACGAGTGGTATGAGGACCAGCGGGAGCAGCAGCTGCTGCGGGAGCAGCAGCAGCAACGGCAGCAGCAGCAGCAGGAGGAAGAAGGCAGAGACAGAACACAGCTGCCGCCTATTGACCGCGAGCAGCTGCTGCTGCTGCTGGGGCCGCGGCAGCAGCAGCTGCTGCTGCGCCTCAGCAGCAGCAGCGCAACCAGCAGCAAAGTGCTCGAAGTGCTTAGCATGTCAGATGAACAAGCTCGGAACCAGCTGGCAGCAGCAGTTGCAACAGCAGCAGCAGCAGCAGCAGCAGCAACGGGAGCAGCAGCAGACGCGCTCGACGTCGGGCCCCAGCTGCCTCCCTCCGCCGCTGCTGCAGCAGCAGCAGCCGCAGCAACAGCAGCAGCAAGAGCCACGCGACACATCGCAGCAGCAGCAATACCCGCAGCAGCAGCAGCAGAAATCATAACTACGCTGTGGCCCCCTGAAGAAGCAGCAGCAGTAACAGCAGCAGTCACTGTTGCAATAGCAGCAGCAGCAGCAGCAGCAAACGGCTTCTCTGCAGCAGCAAGAGCAGCAGCACGCGCCACGCAACGCGGCTCCCCAGAAGCCACTGCGGAAGCCCAACTAGCAGCAGCAGCAGCAGCAGCACTTAGCCAAGCAGCAGCAAAAAGCATTTTGCGCATCAACAGCCTCGTTTGTGTCAGTGACAGAAGCAGCAGCAGCAGCAGCAGCAGAAGCAGCAGCAGAAGCAGCATCAACTCCGCTGACTTCGCCTAGCTCCTCACAGCCAATAGACTCCGCAGCCACAGAGCGGCAGCAGCAGCAGCAGCAGCAGCAGCAGCAGCAGCAACAGCAGCAGCAGCAGCAACAGCAGCAGCAGCAACAGCAGCAGCAGCAGCAGCAGCAGCAAGTATTACCTGAGTTTCCTCCAGAGCTCTTCTCTGCAGATCTAGAGAAGCTAAAACGCCTTCGACATCTCCAGCTTGCTGCTGCAGCTCAGCAGCAGCAGACAGCAGCGCTAGGTACTCCCTGCTGCTGCCCTGCTGCTGCTGCTGCTGCTGCTGCAGGTGCTGCAACAGCTGCTGCTGCACGTCCCGCAGCAAAGTGCGGAAGCCCTGGCGGTTGCCTTGCTGCAGCAGCAGCGCCAGCCGACATATCTGCAGCTGCAGCCGCTGCGTTGCTGCTGCTGCTGCTGCTGCAGTGTTGCTGCTGCTGCTGCTGCTGCTGAGCGCTGGCGAGCTCAGCAGCAGCTTCAGCAGCTCGTCTGCTTTTGTTGGCCGCGATGCAGCAAACTGAACAACAAATAAATAAAATAAAAATAATAAATAAATAAATAAATATTAAACTAAATAATAAATAATTATTATATTAATTAGGAAGCAGAAGCATTTAAGAAGAAACAAGTCCACTAGCACAGCAGTTGCCGCCGCAAACCCTTTTTCAGGGTTTATATCTCATAGTTAAGCAGCAGCAGCAGCAACAAAGAGCAGCAGCAGCAACAAAGAGCATCAGCAGCAACAAAGAGCAGCAGCAGCAACAAAGAGCAGCAGCAGCAACAAAGAGCAGCAGCAGCTGCTGCAGTTGCTGCACCTGTGCTGCTGCCTTCAGCCGCAACAAAGAAACTGAACTTCCAAAGCGAGAAGTCAGCGACGCCAAGACACGGCGGCACTCCTCCACCTGCAGCAGCAGCAGCAGCAGCAGCAGCAGCAGCACAAGCAGCAGCAGCAGTGCGAGAATTGGGGACTTTGGCAGCAGAGGGCCGCTGCTGCGCGAAGTAAGTGCAGCAGCAGCACCACCAACTCAGGCAACTGCAGCATCCAACACCTCTGCTGCAATATAGCAGCAACAGCAGCAGCAGCAGCAGCAGCAGCAGCAACAGCAGCAGCAGCAACAGCCCACGCTGCGCCTACCCGTCCGCCCTTCAGAAGGCCTATGCACCGATTGACTCCAATGCCCAAAGCCTGCAGCAGACACGCAGCAGCAGCAGCAGCAACTGCTGCAGCAGCAAACACGAGGCGCAGCAGCAGCAGCAAGAGCAGCAGCAGCAAGAGCAGCAGCAGCAAGAGCAGCAGCAGCAGCAGCAACTGCACCTGCGGGACAGTGAGTTTGCGTTCCAGTGTCTCTGTTGCTCCTTTTGTGGCTCTTCTTATAAGAACATCCAAATCGTGCTGCTGCTGCTGCTGCTGCTGCTGCTGCTGCTGCTGCTGCTGCTGCT